ACAGCGAGACCATCAGCTGGCACTTGTCCAGTGAGAAGGTGATGTGTTCAGAGTCGGCGATGCTGCTCTGGAGGACCTTCTGCAGGGTGGCCGCTGAAGTGCAGCTGGACTGCAGATCAGTGGTGCTGGCAATCTGAGCGATGGGCACCTTGAAGAGGTTGGGCAGGTTAGCCATTGCCGGGACATTCTCACAGGAGGATGGATGATGCTGTTTCAGCGAGTAGGAAATGGCGTCCACCTCAGCGGACCAGTCGATGCGCTCGATAAAAAGGCGCAACTGGAAGGCGCCCGCCTGGTTCGCCTTGAAGGTCGAGGGAACGATGGTGTAGTGGCCCGGCTTCAGCCGACATCTACCCACCACCTGGCGGTAGTTGATGTAGCAGCGAGTGCCCGCCACTGGCCGACTTTTGGCAAAGAACTCATTGGTCAGCTTGGGGCCGCTCTCCACGCTCTCAATCTGGTAGATTTGAAAGCCTCCAGGAGGGAAGGATGATAAGGAAAGTAAAATCAAGACCACTACACTAAATGTAAAACAAACCTATTTTCAGGTCAAAGAGACCAGTGTTCTTCTTCGCCGGCCGGCTCTTCTGCATCAACCCTACGACGACGGTGGCCAGGTTGCCCTCATCGGGGTCGCAGTCCTTGCCGGTGATGGTGAGGTAGAAGCGCGGGTTGCTGGCAAAGGGGCCCTTCGTAGAGCAGCCGCCCGAGCTGACGCCCACCTCCCAGGCGGCCTCGTGGCTGACGATCTCCCAGCGGTACTTCGCGGAAGACTTGTTGAAGTTGCACAGGTCTAGGCGGCTGAAGTTGGCCCTGAAGTCGTCGTAGGTCATCCAGAACTCGCCCTCGGCGTCCAGGGCCAGGCCGAAGCGCTCCTTCTCCAGCTCGGGAATGAGCGCCCACTCGCGTGACTTGCAGCCCCAGCCGCCTTTCCAGTCGGCGGCGTTGGTGGCGGTGTTGCGCAGCCGCACCAGCTGTATCTGGTTGCTCTCATTCTCCAGCTCGATGGAGTTGACGGCGCTGATCAGGTAGAAGTGGCCCATGTTGAGGCCGTTCTCCAGCTGCTTTCCATAGGGTGACTTCTCCTCCTGTTCGATGTAGGCGCTGACCAGCGAGAAGTGGAGGATGCTCTTGAAGATGACGCCGAACATGTTGGCGTTCTCGCGGCCCTTCAGCAGGTACGTCTCGCAGAAGCCGCCTGTGATTACGGGTTGACAATTGAGTAGTAAACAAAGAAAGCCCATTTTCCTGAGAGTTTTATTACCTGAGAAGTCCTCAAAGGCCTCGCTGGAGGTGCTGCCCGAGCAGGCCTCATAACTGCCCACCAG